GCAAGATAACAGGCTAGCTATCTTAATATTTCGAATGGTAACAAACTAGATTTAACTAGGAGGAGAGGAAATGTCAAATTTTTGCTAATCATTAAAAATTATAAAGTTGCATTGTTTGTGGCTTCAAGAGAAGAAAAACGGCTTGGGAGTTGGGGTGTTAAGCTTACGAAAAAATAATATTAAAATTATGTAACTAAAGCTAAAATAACTAGTATTGTTTGAAATGGTGGCTAGCCAAATTAACATTTGAGTTATTTGGTTAGCTATGACAACAAAATTTTAGTTAGTATTGTTAGAAATGCTTCGAGTCGTATAAAGAAGCCGCACTTGCGTACTTGTACTATTCGTTTGTTTACTCATGATGACATCTCAATTTGGACTTCAGTTTTTTGTCACACGCGCTCAATTATTCGTTTGTTTACTCATGATGGCATCTTAATTTGGACTTCAGTTTTATAACACGTGCTCAATTATTCAACTCAAGTCTCCTACTCAATTAATCAAGAGATGATAAAGTTAGTCACCAACTCTAAATATAAATAATCCCTAATTTGTCTTAAGTGGAGAGACCCATTTGACTCGCAATTTTTCTGGACCGGACGCAACCCTAAACCCTAACCTTAAGCAAAAATCCCTCGGCCATGCCTTTGCCACTTTGGCCTTTTCAATCACAAGTAGTAATATATGACTAGGAGCAACGATTCTAAAATAAGAAAAAAGTTCCCAACCATGATGATGTGTTGATACGATGTGATTAAATTTCTCATCCTGACTTATTGAATTTACATAATCCTGATCACTGTCTTAATAATTATTTAATTTTTTATCACAATTTTGCTACTAACAAACCACTAAACGACTAGCAAGTAATAATCAACTACGCGTGCAAGACATCAAATGTATAATTATATGTAACTCACGAAACGTATTTTAAGTGTTCAGCACACTTAATTGACTCAGACAAATTTTGACTAAACAACGGACTGACGGATCCAAGTATATTTTGTTTTCTTATTCAAGTGATTTTTCTCCCTTAAGATTCACCGAGCTTTCTTCAGCCATGATTGGAATTCGATGATGAACAACAACGGAAAAATGGGCAGAGACAAGTTAGGAATGACACTACTTTGATACCATGTTGAATTTTAGTTTAAGTGTTTGTGTATTTCATAACTTGTGTAAATTTACAAAAGGAGATATAAAGGAAAAGCAAAGGACTGGTTACAATCAACCATCCTTAAGCTAAACCCTAGAGACCAGGTAAACACAAAACACTTAACAACTATTCCTAATTTAAGGAATTACACCAAACACAATGCTAAGAAGTCAATCACACGTTAATCCCACAAATAAAGGGATTAAAGATCAGCAGCCAAAGCAGACATTGACATAAGGAGAGTCATGATTCAACACAATCTAGGGTTTAGGGTTTTCAGCTTGATTTCAAGTTGTAACTTTCAATAGAGAATCTCCAACAGTCTAATTAAACGAGGTTTTTTCCGCTATTTTAACAAACAAAAAAAAAAATGTAGAAAAAGCAAGCTATAACAGGCTAGCTATCTTAATATTTCGAATAGTAACAAACTAGATTTAACTAGGAGGAGAGGAAATGTCAAATTTTTGCTAATCATTAAAAATTATAAAGTTGCATTGTTTGTGGCTTCAAGAGAAGAAAAACGGCTTGGGAGTTGGGGTGTTAAGCTTACGAAAAAATAATATTAAAATATGTAACTAAAGCTAAAATAACTAGTATTGTTTGAAATGGTGGCTAACCAAATTAACATTTGAGTTATTTGGTTAGCTATGACAACAAAATTTTAGTTAGTATTGTTAGAAATGCTTCGAGTCGTATAAAGAAGCCGCACTTGCGTACTTGTACTATTCGTTTGTTTACTCATGATGACATCTCAATTTGAACTTCAGTTTTTGTCACACGCGCTCAATTATTCATTTGTTTACTCATGATGGCATCTTAATTTGGACTTCAGTTTTATAACACGTGCTCAATTATTCAACTCAAGTCTCCTACTCAATCAATCAAGAGATGATAAAGTTAGTCACCAACACTAAATATTAATAATCCCTAATTTGTCTTAAGTGGAGAGACCCCATTTGACTCGCAATTTTTCTGGACCGGACGCAACCCTAAACCCTAACCTTAAGCAAAAATCCCTCGGCCATGCCTTTGCCACTTTGGCCTTTTCAATCACAAGTAGTAATATATGACTAGGAGCAACGATTCTAAAATAAGAAAAAGTTCCCAACCATGATGATGTGTTGATGCGATGTGATTAAGTTTCTCATCCTGACTCATTGAATTTACATAACCCTGATCACTATCGTAATAATTATTTATTTTTTATCACAATTTTTCTACTCTAATGTACAATCTAACAAACGACTAAACGACTAGCAAGTAATAATCAACTACGCATGCAAGACAGCAAATGTATAATTATATATAACTCACGAAACGTATTTTAAGTGTTCAACACACTTAATTGACTCAGACAAATTTTGACTAAACAACGGACTGACGGATCCAAGTATATTTTGTTTTCTTATTCAAGTGATATTTCACTTATACCAGAAAAGAAATTTCAACTTGGTTGCGTTGCGAGAGCACGCAATTTGACACTCTTTCTTCTCTATCCAAATTGAACGACTGCCATTGGTTGATGAACGGGTTGGTACTGCCGATTAGTCCATTTATACCCTCGGGCGAACTTAATCTCCATCCATGAACTTTCCTGTGGCCTTTATGTATGGAAGATTGATGGATTATTACAAAGAAAATAATAATAATAATAATAATGAATAAACTTAATAAAGTTGGCCGGAGCAATGTGCCTCATTTTTTGAGTATAAGTCTAAATTGTCCTAGTAATTTATATGGAGTGGGATGAGTATTATGTGGATGAGCAAATTTGGGCCCAAAATTGTATTAGGTTTGCAAAGTCATAGGTGTGCAACGCATCACCCCAACCAGCTTGATAAATGATTGGTTAAGGTCTAACTGAATTTGATTTTAATAAGCTCGATCAGTTTATAATCAAGTTAGGCATTCGCAGCTTTGAGTTTACCTAGCCCAAATTGTACCCCTAACTAAAACATGAATTAGGTTCATTTGTCAAACTCTAAGCTTGCATATGACCTCCCTGAAGTATCTCCTGCATGTTGTTTTGGCCAAAGACTTCTGGAGATAGATCGTCAAGGGGCTCCTCGAATATCAACGTTCATGGTTACCTAGAAGGTGACATATCACTTGTTGTACATTCACGTATCTTCATATTAATGCATTTGATCCTAAACCTCACACTATAGGACTCTGCTATTGTTTGAGAATTTTTGAGGCGAGACCAAAGATCATATTCATCAAAACATGAGATAACCAATGATAATTCAGGTCTAAGAACTAGTTGCATCTGTAACTCAAATGTGTGGTACAATTGACAAGTGGGTAATCTTTCATTTGTACACTTCTATAGATATATAGTTGGTAACTAGTAAAACTTGCCCACGCAATGCTATGGGTTCCAAATGCAACCAGTTCTTGCAATCAATAAATATGGTTGAGAGGTTGTCAATAGTCAAAAAACATGTTGACCAGGATAGTTAAATTTTATTAGTTTACTCCAAATGACTTCAACTTCTCCAAAAGGTTTCCTTCTAGACTCTTACAAATCACTCAATAGATTTGTTAATTGGCCCTAAACTCTTAGTAACAAAATTAGCCAACTCTAATTAACAATTCATAATCCAACTGCAAAAATAACATAGTGAGTTTCAACTATGTTCAAACATCTGAATCAACAAATTCAAAGGTCTTGCATTATTACCCAAAAGGCATCCATTACATTTTAATAAAAATTTCTCCAATGAACTACAATTCACATACAATTTGAAATATCTAATTCAAACATTGAAGCACTCAAGCACCAGAGCATGACTATGATGCAGTTAATCCGTTCCTAGGATCACGTGGAAGTCTACGACTTCGATGGAAGGAGATTAACTTGCACCTTTTGGTTTTCAATAAGAAAAGTGTGTTCTTTTTATTCCGCTGGATGTGTAACAGACTCTGCCTCACGACATTGCGATTCTAATGTTGTATCCGTTAGAGGTACCTTAAGTCAATTGAGCAACCAGGGTGATATGACCGTGTGGGTGGCACCCGCGTCAATCAAAACCCTAAAGAAGGAATCGGAGTATCTAATGTCCCCGTGATCAGGTCAAGATTGTCTTGATCATCTGTGGGTGATATTGTTAACATGGCCATGAGTTTGTTGTCCTCCGACATGGCACGTTCTTCTGATTCCACGATTTTTATTTCCTCGGTCTTGATTGTCTCTATTAGCCTGCCCGCTGGCGAAGCCGCTACATAACACTTTTTTGGTACTCTGGTAATGTTTGCCTCTATGGGACTATGAACCAACGTCCTAGTACTGATGTATAACTCCCCAATACTGCATTGGGTTTCAAGTATAAGAAGTCATACTGTCTGAACACTAATTGATAGCTCTAGATACTGGACAGCGTCATGAAAGAGCTCACTCTCAGGTAAAAAAGTTTCAGTCAGCCCATGTGGGCTGTCTTAAATTGTGTTTTTAGCTTGAGTGAAAGCAGCGAGCAATTCTAGTGAGACAACTGCACTAGTCAAAAAGTATAAGAAGTAAGATATAAAGAGCATGTGTGCTACATAAATTACAAGATTGAGACATATAATACAAGATTGACAAGCAAAGCAGATGGTGACCCGGTTCAGCCTCGCTACACAAAAAGGTAAAGGGTTCAGATGAGAGTAATTGAGTGCATGTCGTCCCGGTTACTGTCTATCTAGCATAGGCAACCTTTTCCTCCCGAAAAACAACTAAGTCCAGACATCAAGACTCTCCCTCCTATATTAACTTATTTCCTTCCCCTTCGCTCTCCTGTGGGATTGTGATTAACATAACTTAGTAACTCAGTATTCAATAAAATCAAGTTTAGACAAAATGTAAATTAAAATTTACTTGTTTATTGATGTAGGAAAAACATGGGAGTCAACTATTGTTGATACAATTTAGAGTAAAGAAACAATTCAAAATCAGGCCTGCTTCAGGATGGGAAATCAATATGGCATTGGTATGCAAGCATATCTTCGGAACTTTTGGGGTTGTGCTCCTTGAGCAACGTTCTTTCAAGAAGTCACACTATTATTCTCTTATGACCATTCTTGGTGTAATAATGGGAGACTTCTAACCACTTGGACTTGTAGGTGACCTCAGGATATTGTTTGTCCAGAGTTAGGAGACTACTACAGGGAAAGCGTACATATGAGGAAGAATACAATTAAACCGTATAGAATGGAGGATCAAACTCAAAAGGGCTTATTGATCATCATGTACTCTTACATTCAATCTTCTGAGCCATATAGAATGGAGGATCATGTGAAAAACGTCGAATCGCTTCGGCGGAGAATTGACCTCAAAATGTTTCCTTACTTGTAACACTCTCCTCTGCATTCTCACGTACTGCCTTGATGATATTCTCGTTAGTATTTTCTTCAAATTGGGAATGTCACTTACCGAAACCTCGACGGAGAATGACTTCCAATTCAAAATATCGCTGAATGGGGGCACGTAATGGTCTGAGATGAGCACCGGCACGCATCCGGTGTAAATTGCCTCCACCACCCTTGGGCTTGCAACTTCATACCCACTTGGGCAAAGGCAGAACCTGCTTTGTCGCATCATGTCGTAGTACGAAGCACCCTTTGGAAGGTACTGATGGACTCTCATGTCTGGATCCTTGTTCTCCCAATGCTCTAGCAGAATAGGCCTAATAGGACCGTGAACTCCTCCAGCAAAGAAAGCGAGGTTCGAGCGTAGCCTTGGAGAAGGCCCACCAAGGAAGCCGTGAGTGTCGCCTGTTTGAAGATTGATTTCTGGAAAGGACACATCCCTTGATGGGTTGAACCCTTCTGAGGTATTGGCATTGCATAAGGCACGAATGGAGTTTTTGCGAAGATGGGGATTGGAATTTGAAGTTTCAGGCCCCTACAATCCAAGTAATCAAAATTAGAACACATTCATGAAATATGGGATTTTATTGCAATGCGATAGTAAAGGATATAAGGTGGTAAGAGAACCATACCCAATCATGGCAAGCAAGCATAAAATGGTCAGCTCCAAGGCTTCGGTTCCAGTAGGGATATTTTTCAGAGACAATATTGACATAATCTCTCACTGTTTGTCTAATTGGACTGAAGTCATGTGAGTCGCGCACATAGACAAAACGGACCAACATTGTCACGCTGAAGGGTAGAAAATAAACATGTGCTTTCTCCGGATCTTGAGTCCGAAATTGTTTATTCACCTCAATTTCATGTATAAAGTTCCCCTCCATGGAGTATATACTCTTGCAAGGGCCATTATGAAACAATGGGGGTTCACCTTCTGCATAAACAAAGACCTTGAACTTTTCTTCCATTTCCAAATAGCTCCTGCAATTTCAAATGGGAAGTGCCACTGAGATAACATGTCCAAAATAATAGCAATGATCATACCATTATATAATTTGTGCTACATCTTTAGGTAGCAAATTTATTCCATAACATGATGAAATTTTGAACCAACGAAATACCAAATTGACCTTCTGAATTGTAACTTGCAAATTGAAACTAATTCATTATAAACATTATTGAAGTAGGTACGTACCTGTGAAAGGCATTAGCATTCCAATACATTGGACCATTAGGAATGTAATCGACATCATGTGTTTGATTTCCAAATTTAGCTTCTCTTATGGCAGCTCGAGCTCTTCTAAGGCGGGCCTCCAGCCACCCTAAATTTGTATTCTTTCTTTGTCGTTTTTCCATGATAGAATCATGAGTTTCATTCCTCGAGTCGTCTCCCTTTGTCACATTCTGTAAAAATAAAAATAAAAAATAAAAAATAAAAATCAATTGTCAGATTGACTAACACGCAACTCTTACTCAAATCAATAAATAATCAACACTCTTTCAATTAAAATCTGAAGAAGAATCAAATTGTTGCTTAGATAGAGCATGTGATACATTAATAAGTTTGGAACATATACCAGTTACACACATATGGTGCATATTACCTGGGACAATATTTAATTAGGAGACACTAAACAAGTAACAATAGTAGATGCAAAAGCACACAGAGTGCAGCATAGGGATTAAGCACCTAATTAATTCTTTTCCTTTTTTTTTTTTTTTAACTATTTTAATCTCAATTACTTCATTCCCAAAAATACCAGAGGTGATGAGGAATAGGGACATTAACTGTGACAGCAAGATTTTTATTACATAATACCGACCGCAACTATATTATTTTTCCTCTATGAAAAAAACGTGTAGTAAATTTATTAAAATTTTGATGTCAAAGATTATTTTCTTAGACTTGTGGGTCAACAGATCAGCCACCCAAAAATTACAGAACAGAAAGTATGGAACAATTCTTTTACTTCAAAATAAATAAATAAAATCCAGGTTCTTTTTTTTTTTTTTATTTTTTTAATTTTTTTGTGATTTAATTTGTTAAGAGCTTAATTAATTTAACTTTCCCACCCGATAAGCATAAAAAAGATGGCAAGAACAAGCAAGCAATTAAAAATAATCCAAAAAAATTTAAAGCATGAAATATAGGAAAAGAAATTTAACATGCATGAAAAGGATGAAGGACTTACGGGTTGTTGAAGAGTTGGCAAAGCTTCTGCTTCATCTTCAATGGCGATCGGAGGCGACGAGGATTGATTTTGTACGGAGTCATCGGAGTGAGCTTCTTCTATGCTGTGCATATCGAGAACAGCCACCGTCGATCTCAACCCCAAAACGTCGTCATTCGAATCACTACTACCACCACTACTAGGACTAGTAGCAGTTAAATTTAAACTAGGAGAAGCAGAGGGGGAGATAATAACCCAATTGGAGGTGTTCGGACCCAGCACAGAAATCAACCCGAAAACCACAACCAGCGGAACCACAAACAACAGAACCGCAATCGACGAGGAGGACGACCACCATGCATGCTGATGAGTGCTGCTGGAATTACTAATCGCAGCCAGTTTTTTACTACTTGTCCCCATCATCCAGAGAGCTAGATAGACAGCTAGAGAGCTCTACCTTTCTGTTTCGTTGCTGAGAAAAGGGAGAGAGATTTTGGATGGTTTTAGAGAGAGAGAGAGAGAGGGACAGTTTAGCATTTGGCAATAGATGGTTCCGCCATCACGCCAAGCGTCCTCATATTCTTCCCTCTACTTCCGAGTTTCTCATGCAACTTTTCTCTTTTCCGATTCTGCCCCAACTTTTTTTTTTTTTTCCTTTTTTTTTTCTTTTTTGGCTGGCTAATAATATTCTTTTTTTTTTATTACCAACCACCGATAACACCCTAACTTTATTTAATTTCCAGCAATTAATTCTGCCACCTTTCGCAGCACAATTACAACACTTGCAGTTTGCTTGCCGCACCCGCGAGGCACAAAATTTACTATATCGGTGCTGATGAAGAATTCTCCGACGCTCAAGTCGTGCAGCTCTCAAAGCAGTGTGTTTATAGTGGTGTGAAATTGTTGAATGCCTTGGTTATGGTACGTAGGAAAGGTATACATATATATATATAGTGGTATGAAGGGTCCTTGTTTAATTAGGAATTGTAAACATGCTTGTTTGAAATTAGCTGTAAAATCAAGAGGAAACCTTAGCTTAGTAGGTTAATCGTTTCATACTTAACCTTTTTGGCTCTCGATCTTTCCCAAATGCAATTGGATTTGATCCGAAATTGTTAAGTTTCAAGTGATTTACATCATATAACTTTCATGTATACCCTTAACAGTTTTGAATTAGGAAGATTTATCTAATACAAGTCATTTATAAACTAACCAAACGCAAATTTAAGGATATAGAAATATTGGAAACTAGTAAACACATGGACACGGTATTATATACATACTACTCTTTATCACATGCGCATACAGGCCTATGGCAATGGACTTTTGTATTGCCTTACTTTTTTTTTTTTTAAGTTGTACTTAGAGTAAACACAAGAACACGGTATTATATGTGGTAATGGGCTTTTTATTGTCTTACCTTTTTTTTTTTTTTTTTTTTTTTTTTTGTAAGTTTTACTTATTTTAGATATTATTATTTTTAAATACGTTTTAAAAAATAATGAACTTAACCACTGATCAGTCCTATTACCTGATTTTTTTTTTTTGTAATTTTCTTTTTAAATCCTAATCAGGAAAAAGATAATTTTGGATATTATTAAAACTTTACTTATTTTTGGCCATATTTTTTATGTTTACCTACTCCAAAAAGGAATATTAGGACATAAACACGTAATAACACACGTAATACTATTTTTTGTTATGAAATGCATGTGTGTATTCATGTTTTTGGATTGTCACAAGGGAGAATAACTTATATGAAACGAGTTCACTATTATTGTGAGATCTCAATTTAATAATTTTGTTTAACAAATGATATTATTTATACTTAGGGAGTGGGGGAGTGGGCTAAGTCTAACAATAAGCTAACAATTATCTACACTTTGTTTGGTGCAAATTGTCTCTACATAATCTTGGTCATAGTATTATTGAATCGAAACGACACATGACATGCAATCTGTTTAATGTAAGTTAATTTGGTGACAAAAGTGTATTACTCTACATAATCTTGGTCATAGTATTATTGAATCGAAACGACACATGACATGCAATCTGTTTAATGTAAGTTAATTTGGTGACAAAAGCATTAATACATATGGGTTTATTTTTGGAACAATTATTGGCACTACAAAAGTCTTATTTGTACACTTCTCACAAGTGTATTTATCTTTAGATACGAAAAGTTTAACGTGCAAAATAAGTATTTTGCAATGCCAATAACTTTTTTTTTTTTTTCAATTTCCTTTTTTATTAACTATAAAACAAAATAAAAGAAAAGACCAGGGACCAACCAAGTAATTTGGCCTATAATATTGATCTTGCAAATGTGTAACAATGACCTTGACGTACTTTTGTATAGATCTGTTCGTCGGGTTGGCAATGAGAGCACGCCAAGTCAATCTGTGGTGCTGATCCTGATTCCCAAAGCCAAATTTGGCCAAAGCGCAACCGCATGGAATCGACGTAAGCTTTAACTTGTACATTAGTGAAGAACACGACACCGTTCCCTGGTTGTCGTCCCCCGTGTCTGGTTGCTAATTAATTTAGTCGGCTAAAAACCCGCATTTTCTGTTGCTTTGTTGCTACTCGTCATGTATAATGGCTAGAAGACGAAAGTGCATTCCAATGAATAAAAGCTTTTTTTTTAGTAAAAGTGTTTTTTAGTTCTAAAACACTAGTAGGAAAAACTATTTGCGCGACAAAGAAAAATCTGTTGCTCAAGGGCGTTTTGCACAACAAAAAAAATATATTCGTCGCGCAAGATTGATGTACTTTGCGCGAGGGAGAACTTTGTTGCTTAATAAAGTTTGCACAATGAAAAAAAGATGCTCGTCAGGCAAAGTTACTAAGAAAACTGCGGGTAATTTTTCTTTTTTGGTGCAAAGATAAATGCAGGACGAAACTTTTCCCGCGGCTACCTTGGTCGACAAAGGCATCATCGCGCAAAGTGCATTTAGTTTTTGGGTCAAAGCATTCAGCACTTGGTAATCAGCAGAACACTTGTGCGACAAAGGCTTCGTCGCGCAAAGTCCAGTTAGTTTTTGAGTCAAAGCATTCAATGCATATGGATCAGAGGAATCAATATTGTATTTAGTGTAGAGGTTTGTGTGACAAAGGCTTCATCTCACAAAGTGCCTAACCTTCCTATAAATATGCACTTATGCTCTCCTTATTCTTCACAATTCTCTTTGTGCTCGAATGGAGAATAAAAACCGAGAGCAGGGCATGCCCTCCGGGCCCTATGATATGAGCCAATTTGTGGAGTTTGTGTATGCGATTGATGCAGCAATGTGGACTAATTGTCCTACTGCTGAGTGGCGTTCTTGGAAATATATGATCGAGAATGCAAAGAAAGTGGTGATGGATCAATTATCAATAAGTGTGACAAAAGTTGAAAATATATAGTTTTGTTAAATTTTTTGTTATATGTTGGAATTAATTATTTGCATATATGTGTAACAATGTATCTATACTCTTGACAAAACGAACGAAGAGCTGATGAAGTTGATGGATGAGGCGTTGAAGGGGGTTTACAAGCGATGGGTTATACCATGGAGCAGAATGAAGGACTATCGAAACAGTAGTTTTAAATTTATGTTTTTGAGGACAATATTTAATTTTAAGGTTTTTAGTCGGTTATGTATTTGGACTTAATTAGGGCTTAATTCATGTTTTGTTGTTTAAATAATTGCATGGAATATTAATTCAATTTACTTAAGCTTTTAACTATTCTTAGAATAAATATTATAACTGAATATTTATTTGTAATTATGAAGTTTACGTAAATATAGATACTAAAGATCTATGCTTACGTAAACTTCATAATTACAATCCATTCATTCGTCGCACAAAATTTTTGGTGACAATAGTTTGGTCGGGCAAGGGGCGCAAAAACACGGATAACCTTACCACCATATTTTGAACCTATATGTTTTGCGCGATGAACGTTTCGTCACGCTAGGTGATAAAACCTTGCGTGACAAAGGTTTCGTCGCTCAAAGGTTGTTTAGTTTTTAAGTTAGAGCATTCAGTGCATGTGAATCAAAGGAATCAAAACCGTATTTACTACAGATGTTTGCGCAACAAAGGTTTCGTCGCGCAAAGTGCCTAACCTTCCTATATATATGCATTTCTGCTCTCCTTCTTCTTCAGAATGCGTTTTGGAAACAATTTACGAGCTTTGCAGATTATAATCAATTTGTTTTTTGATTGTTGGTGAGATGGGTGATAGTGCTGAGCGTTCTTCAAAGACAATGGATGACGAAGGTTCTGGAAAAGGTTTAAGTTGTAAATTTTGCATTTGTATATGGTTTTTATTTAGCTTCAGTATTATGAATATATATTTTGTTGATAGACAAGAAGAAAAGAGTTGCTGTACAGGTTCGACACACTTATGGTGGGAGCCGTTACCGAATCATTGCTAACGAATTAATAGGGGTTGTGAAGTCAGATATGCGTGCCAGCTTTTGGTTGAACGTTTGAGCATTGGTGCATGACAAATGTGCCACAAATTGGGATTCTTGGAAAGCCGTCCTTGAGGAGCTAAAGATGCACATGATTGATGAGTTAGCTGTATGTGTTAAGTTATTAGTTAAATAATAATTCTATTTGTTAAATTTAATATAATAGTGAGAGTTTAATTTATTAATTTTTGCATGAAAGCCTAATTGGGACATTGACAAAAGTAACCCAAATCTGATGAAGGCAATCGATAACATGTTCAAGTCTCGTTTTTGGGAGTGGAAGTTTGATAACTAACGTGCGACATAACTTTAGCGAGAATCAGAATTACCAGCAGAGGAGTAGAATAGTGTTTTTATTTTAATTTTAGTACTTATTTAATAATGAGATATGAATTATAAGTTTATTTTATTTTATTATGAACGGTTTACTTAAACATGTACTTAATGTTCATTTTGAATAAAATTAATGCATTTTAATAAATATTTATATTACTTGATTATGCACAAATTGTTTAATGAAATAAGTTCTTGATTTATTAAGTATTTATGTGGTTTGAAAAAATAAATGAAGACCGAATGGAAAAATTTTAATTTTTTTTTTTAAACAGAATTATTATTTTAAAAAAAAAAAAAAAGGTAATGCGCAACGAACTATTAGTTGTCGTGCAAAGTGTTATAAAAAAACGCGGCAAATCGTGGTTGGATGGCGCCAAAAGTGGAAGTAGCATGTTTTGCTCAACAGTGCTTTCGTCGCGCAAAAGTCTTCTAACTTTACTAAATTTAACTAGAATACAGGAAGGCAAAAGTTGCAAAACAATTGCAGCAATTGCCTTCTTTCTGGAATTTCCAGCAACCTTGAATACTGAGTTGCCGTTAATCTCGGAGGTATATTTTCTTAACTAACTTATTTAATTTCCAATCATTTAAATTATGTTGTATGTAATTTATAATTGTTGTGAGTTTATGTATTTGTATGCAAACATTTTTGTATGGATGTACTGAGTTTAGTTTCTCGTTTGAGAATTACTTGGATTTCCCAAATGGATGTGAAAGCATGACTGCGGTCCAATTAATTCTTGACTTGTCCCAAAATTTTGGACAATTTGAGAATGCACAATTACATGTTGTATTTTGCAGTTCACGCATTAGAGTTTGAATGTGGGAATTTTGGTAGCATCTCTTTGCGTTCTTCGGGTGCATCGTAGTTTTTTGTATCTACGTTGTGCACTTGAAGAACTGCAGGGAGATGCTGCTGAGGTTTTCCCATGATCGAACTCTATTATGTTGGAACCGTAAATTACAACAAGTAACTGTGCATTCTCGAATGAGATAGGACTCATATCGGAGGCATAAGGTGACATGTCATAATTCAAGTTGTTGTAACCCATGTAAAATTTTTATGCTTGTAGGTGATATGGACAAACAGTGGATACATAATCTAAAACA